CCCCCCCCTTCTGGCACACGGGTGATGCCACAAGGTCTGTTAAATGTCAGACCTTTGGGCCTCACCATGATGCCCTCTGCACATCCCCTCATTCTTATAAAATCTGTGGACTAAAGTCCAGGCAAACAGAATAGCTGTGCAGCACCTAACTGTCACCTACCCAATCCCATCAGTTACACTGAATAAAACTCTGGGTAAACTGTAGAGTCACCTGCCTCATTTTCCAGTCTCAAAGTACCTACTCAGTTTGGGAGATACTTTACTGTCCCTTCTCCACCTTCTGAAAGTGCTGGCCTTCATAAAAAGGAACTAAATTAGGAGAAAGTGATAGTAGGGAAACTGACCAATTATAGACACCTATTGTATTGTTTGAATTATTTACCATATGTATGTTTTACTTCTTCATACTTCACATTTCAAATTTTAAAATTTTAAAAATGCCTTTTGAATAAAGAACTGAGGTGAAGAGCCATAACAAATATTTTCCTCAGCAGATGGACATTGAGAGCAGAAACCCATCTTCCCAGGCCAAACCAGCATCTGAGGAAGAGTTCCCAAAGGCTGCCATGAAGGTCAGTGGAAAGGGTCTAAAGGAGATCATGACCAGAGACACAATAAACGCCTCAGCATACCCTAATATACAGTCTGTTTTAGAAGCAAAATCTTTTAATGATCACTCCCATCTGATAAGTACTTACTATTTCATAGTGCTACACTCTTTACAAGTTATAATCTCACTGAACTTCATATGAGATAAGCATTTTATTATTATCCTTATGTCACATGAGAAAACTAAGGCACAGAAGAATAAAATAATTACTCACGTTACTTTGATTCCAAATATTCTATGTTACCATCTTTTAGATATTTTTTCATGATACCCACAGAATGACATAATGTTGGTAGTGAATGGTCTAAGAAAGACTGCTCAGAGCCTACTAGTAAGTAATGACATTTCAAAAACTCCAAGTGCTAACTGAATCTGTAATCATAAAACTCCCAACAAACAAAAGCCCGGGACCAGATGGCTTCACAGGTGAATCCTACCAAACATTTAAAGAAGGGTTAAGGGGTGCCTCGGTGGCTCAGTCAGTTAAGCATCTGCCTTCAGCTCAGGTCATGATCCCAGGGTCCTGGAATCAAGCCCCACGTTGGGCTCTCTGCTCAGCAGGGAGTCTGCTTCTCCCTCTCCCTCTGCCCCTCCCCCTGCTCCTTCTCACTCTCGCTCTCTCTCTCACTTGCTCACTTTCTCTCAAATAAATCTTTTTTAAAAAATAAATAAAAATAAAGAAGTGTTAATACCTATTTTTCTCATACTACTCCAAAAAACAGAAAAGGAAGGAAAACTTCCAAATTCATTCCATGAGGCCAGCATTATTACCCTGATACCAAAAACAGATAAAGACACCATTAAAAAAGAGAACCGCAGGCCAATATCCCTGATGAACACAGATGTAAAAATTCTCAACAAAATACTAGCAAATTGAATTCAACAAGCACTAAAAAATCATCCACCATGATCAAGTGAGATTTACTCCTAGGTTGCCAGAGTGGTTCCATATTTGCAAATCAATCAACATGATACATCACATCAATAAAAGAAAGGATAAGAATCATATGATCATCTTAATAGACGCAGAAGAAGCATTTGAGAAAGTACAACATCCATTCATGATAAAAACCCTCAACAAGGTAGGTTTAGAGGGAACATACCTCAACATAATAAAGGCCACATACGAAAAACCCTCAGCTAATATCATCCTTAATGGGGAAAAACCGAGAGCTTTTTCCCTCACGTCAGGACGTCCACTCTTACCACTTTTATTCAACACAGTACTGGAAGTCCTAGCCACACAGCAGACAACAAAAAGAAATAAAAGGCATCTAAATTGGTAAGAAGTAAAACTTTCACTATTTGCAGAAGACACTCTATACAGAAACTCTATACTGATACTCTCTACAGAAAACCCTAAAGACTCCATCAAAAAACTGGTAGAACTGATAAACAAATTCACTAAAGTCACAAGACACAAAAATTAACATAGAGAAATCTGTTGCATTTCTATATACCAATAATGAAGCAGCAGAAAGAGAAATTAAGGAATCAATCCCATTTACAAATGCACCAAAAATAAGATACCTAGGAATAAACGTAAACCAGAGGTAAAAGACCTGTACTCTAAAATCTATAAAACACTGATGAAAAACTGAAGGTGACACAAAGAAATGGAAAGACATTCCATGCTCATGGATTGGAAGAACAAATATTGTTAAAATGTCCACACTACCTAAGAAATCTACAGATTTAATGCAATCCGTATCAAAATACCATCATTTTTCACAGACCCAGAACAAACAATCTTAAAATTTGTATGGAACCACAAAAGACCCTAAATAGCCAAAGCAACCTTGAAAAAGAGAAACAAAGCTAGAGGCATCACAATTCTGGACTTCAAGTTATATTACAAAGCTGTAGTAATCAAAACAGTATGGTACTGTCATAAAAATAGACACATAGATCAACAGAACAGAATAGAAAACCCAGAAATTAACCCACAATTATATGGTCAATTAACCTTCGACAAAGCAGGAAAGAATATCCAATGGGAAAAAGACAGTCTCTTCAACAAATGACGTTGGGAAAATTGGACAGCAACATGCAAAAGAATGAAACTGGACCACTTTCTTACACCATACACAAAAATAAATTCACAATGGATTAAAGACCTAAAATGTGAGGACTGAAACCATAAAAATCCTAGAAAAGAACACAGGCAGTAACTTATTTGACAGCAGCTGTAACAACTACTTTCTAGATATGTCTCCTGAGGCAAGAGAAATAAAAGCAAAACTAAACTATTTGGACTACATAAATAAAAAGCTTCTACACAGTGAAGGAAACAACCAACAAAACTAAAAGGCAACCTATGAAATGGGATTAGATATTTGCAAATGACATATCTGATAAAGTGTTAGTATCCAAAATATATAAAGAACTTATAAAATTCAACACCCATGGGCACCTGGGTGGCTCAGTTGATTAAGTATCTGCTTTTGACTCAGGTCATGATCCCAGGGTCCTGGGATCGAGCCCCGCATCGGGCTCCCTGCTCAGCAGGGAGCCTGCTTCTCCCTCTCCCCTGCCCCTGCTCATGTTCTTTCTCTCTCTCTCAAAATAAATAAATAAAGTCTTAAAAAAAATGAATAGCCAATAAACAGAGTCTCTTATAAACATAGCATGAGTGCCTGAACTCAAATTCTCTACTCTAATTTAGTTGTGACAGTCAGATTTAGCAATTAGACTTAGTATCTGAGGCTTAGCAATTTCATGTACAAAAAAAAAAAAAAAACCCAAAACCAAATGAACCGAAAAAATGGGCAGAGGACATGACAGACATTTCTCCAGAGAAGACATACAGATGGCAAACAGACACATGAAAAGATGCTCTTTATCACTTCCATGAGGGAAATACAAATCAAAACCACAATGAGATATCACCTCACACCTATCAGAATGGCTAAAATCAACAACACAAGAAACAACAGGTGTTGGCAAGGATGTGGAGAAAAAGGAACCCTTGTGCACAGTTGGTAGGAACACAAACTGGGCAGCCACTGTGGAAAACAGGATGGAGGTTCCTCAAAAAGTTAATCACACTACTAGGTATTTACCCAAAGAATACAAGAATACTAATTCAAAAGGATACATGCACCCCTATGTTTATAGCAGCATTATTTTCAGTAGCCAAGAGAAGGAAGCAGTCCAAGTATCCATCACTGACAAATGAATAAAGATGTGTTGTGTATATACAATGGAATATTACTCAGCCCTAAAAAAGAATGAAATCTTGCCATCTGCAATGACATGGATGGAACTATAAAGTATAAAGCTAAACTAAGGGGCGCCTGGGTGGCTCAGTCGTTAAGCATCTGCCTTCGGCTCAGGTCATGATCCCAGAGGGTCCTGGGATCGAGTCCCGCATCGGACTCCCTGCTCCGCTGGAAGCCTGCTTCTCCCTCTCCCATTCCCCCTGCTTGTGTTCCCTCTTTGGCTGTCTCTCTCAAATAAATAAATAAAATCTTCAAAAAAAATAAATAAATAAAGCTAAACTAAGTGAAATAAGCCCGTCAGAAAAAGACAAATACCATGATTTCACTCCTATGTGGAATTTAAGAAACAAAACAAGCAAAGGGGAAAAATGAGAGAGAGAGAGGCATATCAAGAAACAGACTTGGGACACCTGGGTGACTCAGTCGGTTGAGCGTCTGCCTTCAGCTCGGGTTGTAATCCCAGGGCTCCAAGGAGGCCGCTTCTTGTCTCAATCTTCTTCCTCTGCCTGCCTCTATCTCAATCTCTCTGACAAATAAATAAGATCTTAAAAAAAAGAAATAGACTCTTAATTATAGAGAACTTATGGTTACCAGCAGGGAGGAGTGGGGGGGATGGCTGAAACAGGTGATGGGGATTAAGGAGTGCACTTGTTATGATGAGCACAGGGTGATGTACGGAAGTATTGATTCACTATATTGTACACCTGAAACTAATATATTAGTTATATACAACTATAATAACAGTTAACTAACTGGAATTAAAATAAAATCATAAAATAAAAACATAAAATCAGGGTAGGGGAAAAAAAAAAAAACCCTCCAAGTGCGGTCAGACCTAAGGGCAATGAATGACCTGACAGGCTAAAAAAAGAGGCCCAGGAGGGAAATTCTCAGGTAAAATATGAGAATAAAGTAAGGAGACAGGCAGCTAAGTCAATGTCATTAAACCAAAATATTAGAAAATGTAGGGCAGTTTTCCCAAGCAAATGGTTCTCTCCACCTTCCCCTCCTTTAGTCTCTAACTCGTAGGGTCCAGAGTTGAAAATCAGACAAGTTAGCAGTGTCCACAGCAAAAACTGGGTTGTAAAACACTTAATACAGACTGTAGGGAAAATCCCAGAAACACTAACCAAGGCAAAAATGAAGTAAAAGTAGAGAGACAAAGGGACCACTTTACTTTCGGTAAATTTAATGACTGTATAAGCTGTTCACATAGCAGGAAAGAGATACATTTTCCATTTGACATAAAGCTGCTTCAACACTTGCAGTTTGTCTCCAGAGCTTCATTACCTCTTTCATTACTGACCAGTCATAGCTCCCTTCCTGTGGGCAAGGACAGCCCATGTCAACTCTAAGGCCATCCACCCAGGTCAGCAATATGCTGAGGAGTCCTTCAGGGTGGTCCTGCAGAGAACATGTCCTTTAAGTGTCTGAGAGCTGGTAGACGTGATCTGAAAGAAAACCAGTCAGAAGAAAGTGAGGTAACCAGGACTGCACTTAATGTGGAGCCTCCAGAGGAGAGGCCACCAACAGGGAGCAAACGGAGGTGGTGACAGGCTAGCAGAGACTGCATGGTTCCCATGTGCCCCCCATCCTAGGAAGAAGAGACATCTGATACAATGGTAATATGTATAGTTTAAGAAATCTAAAATAGTTTAGTCCCAAACTACCATTTCCCCCCTTTCTCTTGAGAGATGGCTCTTCTCCAGCACTAACCATAAGTTTCTGGTGTGAGCTGCCCATCACAGACCCTGCCCTCCTAACCCCACGGGTAAGCTGTGATCTAGGCTTACCAATCACCTCCTTCCTTAGGATATTTATGGCCAAAATTTGGTAAGAAAAACTCTCTTTTCTCTCTAATTGAGATCTGAAAGCATGTGACCCCAAAGGAGCTTTCAGGAGAAGACAGGCAAAAATATGTAAACAAAGATGACTTCAAGCACTGAAAAGTGTTACGAAGATAAAATGGGCTGATGTGATAAAGGGAAGCTGCTTTAGCTTCCCTAAAAAGAAGGCATCTCAAGGAGGTGACATTTCAGAGAGAAACTGAAGGTTAAAAAGATGGCATCACATAAAAATCAAGAGCCTCCCAAGAACACAACACGTGCAAAGTCCTTGACACTAGAACTAGGTCTGAGGGCAAAAAGGAGGCCACCAAGACTGGAGGAGAGAGCGTAAGAAGAGGAGAGGGGACATGAGGTTGGAAAGGTAGCTGGGACAGATCATATAAGGCCTCAGACACTGTGCATTTCATGCTGGCTCCAATAAGAAACCACTGGAGGGCTTAAGCAGAGGAGTCAGTGATCTGATTTAGAAAGACCACAGCGACTACTGTGGGGCAGACAGACTAGAGGAGGGCAAGAATAGAAGTGGAGAATCGGAAGCTTTTGGAATTCTCATGCACTGCTGGTGGGAGGGCAATATGATACAATTACTTTGGCTAGTTCTGTATATACACTCTATGACCCAGCAATTCTAGGCCATTTACCCAACAGAAATGAATACATACGTGCACTAAAACACATGTACAGGAATAGTCATAGCAATCCCATCGTAACAGCTCCAAAATGGAAAACAACCAAAATGGCCATCAATAGTACAATATATTGTAGTATATTCATATAACATGGATAAATATAATCACTGATGAACTGCATAACATAAGACTGAGGAAAAGAAGATAAGCACCAAAAATACATGTTGTATGATTCAATTTTATCACAAAAATAGACAAAACAAACAATGGCATTAGAGATTAGGATGTAGGAGCACCTGGGTGGCTTAGTTGGTTGAGCGTCCAACTCTTGATTTCGGCTCAAAATGGGTTGAGGGATCGAGCCCCACTTTGGGCTCAATGCTGAACGCTGAGCCTGCTTGGCATTCTCTCTCTCCCTCTCCCTCTGCCCTTCCCACACTCTCTCTAGGCGCGCTCTCAAAAAAAAAGAAGAAATTAGGATGTAGAGAAGAAGAATAACTAGTAGGAACATGAAAGTCTGAGGTTTTGAAAATATTCTATTTCTTTTAATATTTAAAAATTTTATTGTTATGTTAATCATCATACATTACATTATTAGTTTTTGATGTAGTGTTCCATGATTCACTGTTTGTGCATAACATCCAGTGCTCCACGCAGAACATGCCCTCCTTAATACCCATCACCAGGCCAACCCATCCCCCACCCCCAAAATATTCTATTTCTTTTTTTAATAATTTTTATTGTTATGTTAATCACCATACATTACATTATTAGTTTTTGATGTAGTGTTCCATGATTCATTGTTTGTGCATAACACCCAGTGCTCCACGCAGAATGTGCCCTCTTTAATACCCATCACCAGGCTAACCCATCCCCCCACCCTCTCCCCTCTAGAACCCTCAGTTTGTTTTTCAGAGTCCATCGTCTCTAATGGTTCGAAAAATATTCTATTTCTTGATCCAGGTGGCAGGATCACTTTGTGATAATTCATCAAGTAGTATACTTATAATATGGGCAATTTTCTATATTTATGATACGCTTCAATAAAATAATTCATCTTTAAAATACAGAAGCAGAAAATCGTAAGAAGACTGCTGAAATCTCCCAACCAAGAAATGATGGTAGCTTGGAGATAGAAAGAAACAGGCACATGCAAGATACATTCCATAAGTGAGCTAAAACAGATGGACTGCTGATAGAATACAGGAAAGTGAGTATCTAAGATGAATTCTAAATTTTTGGCTTGAGCAACTGAGTGTGCCATTTACTGAGATGGGGAGGGTTTGAAAGGAAGAAAACTGCAATGAAGAATTCATTCTATTTTGGCCATATTAAGTTTAAGATGGCAGAGAGAAAGGATATAAATGCAAATCTCTTGACCAGAAGGGATGGAAAGGAAAACATAAGGGACAGTGTAACAGAACATGAAGATGTTTCCTATACAGTCCCATGTGAGCAGACAGCACATATGGGTAGGGATGTGAGCTAGTGGAAATAATAATGAGACAATGAGGTCTCATCTGATTGTATTGCTTTTCTCCATGAAATATGAGGCAAAGACATCAGCTGAGACTAGGCTTTGGATAGGTGAGTAAAGATTTAAGGCGAAAGAGTAGGAAAGTGAATTTACTAGGGAAATAGAGTAGGATCAGGATTTCAGGGCCATGCTGAGTGCTCATGTGAGTTTTATGGTTATAAATTTGAACTGAATGCAGCTGGGTTCATGTGGCGGAGACTGTTACTTGTCTCCCAACACTTCTCTTCTTCCTAACAGAACTCCCAATTATAGCTGGGCATCTGATCATTCAGAATGAAGATCTTCCCACTTCTTTGCAGCCTGGTATAACATGTTATAAATTGTGTGTGGAACTCCTATAAACTGCCCTGAAAGGAAGAGAGCATGCCCTTTCCCTCTCTTCCTCCTTCTTGCTAGTTAGAATATGGACATGGTGGCTGGAGCAATCATCTAGGATCATGGAGTAACCTTAAGGATGGAAACCACACAGCAGCAGATCACAAGATAGGAGCCTGGACCCCTGACGATCATGAAACCATCAAAATCACCAGTTCTGGACCTTCCATATCTAGATTTTTATGTAAAAGAGAACTACCAAATTTAAGCCACTGTATTTTGAGTTTTCAATCACCATCACCTGACCTAATCTATGTAATACAGATTATCTGCATGCTTTTCCCTATTTTTTTTTAAAGATTTTATTTATTTATTTTGACAGAGAGAGGGAACACAAGCAGGGGGAATGGGAGAGGGAGAAGCAGGCTTCCCGCCGAGCAGGGAGCCCAATGTGGGGCTCGATCCCAGGACCCTGAGATCATGACCTGAGCCGAAGGCAGACGCTTAACGACTGAGCCACCCAGGCACTCCCTGCATGCTTTTCCCTATTGATGTTCATCTGCTAGGGTGTAGATGCAGAAGAAGATAACCATTTTCACCGGGGTTGGGATTTAGCCAAATAAGCACCAGACAAAAAAGGGAGAAAAGAAAGTGAAATTTGGGGCACCTGGCTGGCTCAGTCAGTAGAGCATGCAACTCTTGACCTCAGGGTTGTAGGTTCAAGCCCCATGTTGGGTGTAGAGATTACTTAAAAAAAAAAAATTGAAATATATGACAGAGTGGTTCTAGTGCAGCCCAGAAACTCTATGTGAAGAGAAATGAGAACAGCAAAGAGGAACAACAGAGAGAGCCAAAAGAACCCCAGTTCCACAGCTCCTTCTTCATTTTGATCCTTCCACTAAATCTACCTGTGGGGTTTATGTCACTTGGGAACAAAAAAGGAGTTGCAAGTAATACAGCATCACCTTTCTATCTTTCTTGACAGATGGAATTTTTCCATTACATAGAAGAATATCATACTAACGATACAACTCAGCACATCAACCTCATCCCCTTTTTCAAGTAACCCTTACCTGCAGTGAAAACAAAGTAGAAGGGGTGGGAAAGCAACTAAAAACCAAAAAAAGCGAACATTCAAAAGACAGAGAAATAAGCAAACAAGACAGTGTCCCCAAAAAAAGGACAAATGGAGAAGCCTATGAGGGATTATTTCCAAATCAATCACATTGCTGTCTAGTAGGAATTATTCCACTTAGTAAATTCTTAAAGTAAGACAAAGCCCGGTTGAAACTAAGCCAGAAGGAAGTAGGATCACATAAAGTCCCCAACCAGCAAACTGACTGTGTTTTAAGTTTTTGTCAGATGGACAGAACAGAACATCTCAGTGGTGGTAAAATTTTCAGGCCAATCCACAGAAGTTCCATGTCTTCTTCAGCTGCAAGCCATGGACCATGGTCCCCCTGACAAGACACATACGACAATAAGAGCAAGGACAGAAAGTAGAGGGTGAAGCATGAGGGAACAGGGCAAAGGATATAACACTGATCAGCATCAGCAGAAAAAAGAAGCACCCTCTCTCCATCTCTCTCTTCTGCAGATTCTTCAGAGCTCAGTGTGGGAGAAGCAGCTTTGTTCCTGCCTACCTCATCAGTATGTGTCCTGTCAGGCTATGGTCCTGGGCTAAAGTGGACCAGAAGAAAAGATGGCAGTAACAGACCTGTATAGTGGGATAAGAAAGAGAGGTAGGAAGAAAGTACATGAAGGAGGGAAGAAAGGGGGGAAAAGAAGGAAGGGGAAACCCCATAGCCATTCATCTGGATCTCCTAGTCCAGGAGAAGTGAGAGATACCTAGGGCATCAGAGACCTCAAAGGGCATGCTCATCTCTGACAGAGAGATGATCAACTCACTCAGAATCACTTACACTTCCTAGCCTTTCTGCAACAGGGAACTGTATGCTACTGTGTACTCCAATCTCACCAAATTCCCAAAAGGAACCCTTCTAAGACAGAAGAAAGGCAAAGAAAACAAGAAGGCATTAGTTAGGAGCAGTTCAAAATTCAGTTCAAGGTGCCCTCTCGTTGTTCAGGCTAAGAAGAGATTTTTATTTAACTAAAGAATTTCTCCTGGAAGAAATTTCATTCCCCCCAAATTACCCAACCCAACATCCATTACACAATGCAAGCCAAAAGCCCAAAAGCACACCTTACCTTCACCAGCACATAGTCCCCAGGCTGAGCTCTGACCTTGACCTCAGAGTTATTAACGTCCTCCATTTCTACATCAGGGAAGATCACTTTAAGGTTTCCATCATTCCGGCCACACAGATCAGTAGCAGAGCGTTTACTGTGCTGCAGAAAGAACAGAGAGTTATGAATCTGTCACAGTCATCAGTTCTGGGAGGGCAAAAATTATGCCTTCTGTGTCTCAGATCCCTAAGGGTCTTACTTATAGAGCATTCCTTAATCAAGGAATCACTGAAGATTACGTGTTTACTGCTGCTTCACCAACAAGGACAATGCATGGCACACTATAGAAACTCAATAAAGTTTTATTGACTATATGTTAATAAATGACTCAATCAGTCTTTGATTACAGAATTACGTTCCTCAGGAATGGACCTCCAACAGTCGTGAAGGCAAGGACATATGGGTGATGCACTTGGCAAAATGACTTTCACTATATCCGGTCTCATAGTAATCACTCAGGAATGTTCTGGGGTTGTCTGGCCTGGGTTACTTGTAACCCTAATGAACAGGCAGACATGAAGCCAGAGTCTCCATCACAACATACAGAAGATAGGGTCAGGAGAATAATAAAACCAGTGTAATGGAATTAACTTCTAGAATATATAAGTTTTTCTCTTCCAGCCATTATGAAGTGACAAGAACCAAATTTATCCTCTGGCCTAAACCAGGAAACTGGACAAAATATATGAAATCACTATTTTCAGATACTGAACTACAGACTGTACAAGACTGTGAACCCAAGAGAAGGGAAACAAATGAGATGAGCCCTCCAATGACCCCTGCATTCTGCCAGAAGGCTTGTATCAGATCAGAGCATGCAAAGCAGGGAGGAAGATTCTCGAGACAGCACGGTGGTTCTCTCTGGATTTAGGAAAAAGAGATCAGAGTTCAGGGAGCCTACAGTAGCTAGAAACTGCAGAGCAAGTTTTAGAGAAGAGGGAGTAAAGCAGAAAAAGAGCTGTGGAAATATGCATAGGGATCCTCTGAGTCCTTGTTAAACACTAACACCTGCTTGTATAGAGTGAAACTCCATCAAGTCAGGTAAAGAAAGTAGCCTGGGAACTGTCAGCAGATGGGCTCCCAGAGCTCATGCAGGGCTGGGAATCATCAGACCTACCACTGGACAGTCCTCACTGATTCCTTGGAACATGCAGTAGTGACTCCAAAAAAGCCACATCTTAGTAATGACGCTAAACTATCCTTGGGATAAAAACGCTTTTTTTTTTTTAACTTTTCTAACAAAGCTTAAAAATGAGCCTTGAAAGGATTAAACTAAACAGCAAATAACATAACTGCCTATCAGAACAAAGCCCAACACAAAATCCTCAAAGACCTCAAAAATGAACATCACAATGTCAAATATCCCATCAAAAATCACTAGATATGCCCAGAAGCAGAAAAATGTGACCCAGAATCAGAAGAAAAGTCAATCAACAGAAACAGACCAAGAAATAATAGCAATGATGGAATTATCACAAAAATAATAAACCAGTTTTTATAATTAAATTCAAAGGAAACTAAGTTTCAAAGGAAAATAAGAATACAGAAGAGAAGGTATTAAAAACCAAATGTAATCTATACAGATGGAAATATAATATAAAAGATTAAAAATTCAATAGGTAGTAGCAGATTATACACTGCCAAAGGAAAAAATAGTGAACCTGAAGACTGAGCAAAAGAAACTATCCAAAATGAAGCACAGAGATATAAAAGGCAGAAAAAAATGAACAGCTTCAATGACCTATAGAACATCATCAAGTGGTTGGATATATAAGTAATTGGAGTCACGGAAAGAGAATAGAAACAGAAGGAGTGGGTGGCAGGAAGCAGGAGGAGTGCAGGAAAAATATCTGAAGAATAATTGATGAAAACTTTCCAAATTTGATGAAAATTATAAACCCCCAAACTAAGAAGCCTCAACACATCCCAAAGAAAACACAAGGGATAAGCACAAAGAAAGCCATGCCAAGACACATCAAATTTCTAAAAACAGTGATAAAGCAAATATCTTTAAAAGGCAGCCAGAGACAAAAGGCATTTTAGTTCTTAAACTAATACTACTTTAGGGAAACAGCAGTCAGGTAAGATTTTAAAAGATTCCCCACCATCTCCTTACAAAACACTTACTAGTTATAGTTACAAAAAGAAAAAGAATAACTTTTCAGTCAACAAGCCTAGTTGACACCACCTTAATGAAATGTTCAAAATTAACATCACCAGTAATGAAACAATCACAAAGATACAATTAAGAAGGACACAATATCATTTCTCTAATATGCCTGCCTAAAAATACATAACCTGAATCTTATCATGAGGAAACTCATCAGAGAAACTCAAATTAAGGAACGTTCTACAAAATAACAGGCCTATAATCATCAAGTGTCAAGATTATGAAAGTCAAAGAAAGACTGAGGAATTATTCTAGACTGAAGGAGACCAGACAGACATGACAATTAATGCAACGTATACACTGACCTGAATCTTTTTCCTATAAATCAAGTTCTGAGACAAGTGGAGAAACTTAAATGGGGTTGGAGGATTGGATTACAGAAATCTAACAAGGTTAATTTCCTGATTTTGATGGTAGTGCTATGGAGGAGAATGTCCATGTTTATATGAGATATATACTACAGTATTTGAAGGGGTAGAGGGCATCAGGTCAGCAACTAACTCTCAAATGAGTCAAAGAAAACAAGTTCTTGGTACTGTGTTGCAACTCTTCTGTAAGTTTATGATTGTCTTACAATAAATTTTTAAAAAGATAGTGTTCAGGTTCCATGATTTGAACAAACCAACCATAAAAGAATACTTATGAGACAGAGAAATTAGAACAGACTAAATATTTGATAACATTAACAAACAATTGTCAATTATTTCAGATATGATAATAGCATTATGTTGGGTTTTTTTCTTAAAAGAGTCCTTATCTTAGGGCACCTGGGTGGCGCGGTCAGTTAAGTGTCCAAATCTGGGTTTTGGCTCAGGGCCTGATCTCAGGGTTGTAAAATCAAGCCCTGCGTCAGGCTCTGTGCTGAGCTCGGGGTCTGCTTAAGTCTCTCTCTCCCTCCCCCTCTGCCCTCTGTCTCCTCTCTAAAATAAATAAATAAATCTTTTTAAAAAAAAGAGTCCTGGGTGGCTCAGTCGGTTAAGCAGCTGCCTTCGGCTCAGGTCATGGGTCCTGGGATCGAGTCCCACATCGGGCTCCTTGCTCAGCAGGGAGCCTGCCTCTCCCTCTCCCTCTGCCTGCTGCTCCCCCTGCTTGTGTTCTCTCTTTCAAATAAATAAATAAAATCTTTTAAAAAATAAAAATAGAGTCCTTATTCTTTTAAAAATATATATACACTGAAATGTTTACTGACAAAATACTATGATGTGTTAAGTATAATATGTATAATATGATGTATAAGGTACTTGCTTCAAAACAATCCAATGGGGGCAGTAAAGGTGAAAACAAAATTAGCCATGATTAACACTGTACTGACAGCTGTTGAAGTTTGTTAATGGGTACACGGGCATTCATGATATTGCTCTCTCTATATCTGTGTATTTTTTTAATTCCCCCCATAATTAAAAAAAGGGGGGGCGTAGGGAAGGAATATTGTTTAGAGGCTCTAGAATGAGATAGACCTGAGTCAAATTCTGGCTCTGCCACACTAGCTGTATGGCCTTCAGGAAGTTATTCTACTTCCTCTGAATCTCTGTTTCATCTCAATAAAAGTGCTAATAATAGCACTACCTCCAAAAACTGTGGTGGGACTCAATGTGCCAATGACCAGAAGTGCACAGTTCCTTAAGAAAAAAAGTGCACAGTTCCTGGCAGACAGTAAATGATCAGTATACATGAGTTATAATCATCTTCTCTGCCACTCTGGATACAGCAACCTCAAGTTTTAAACTGGCCAGGACTAAAGGAAAGAAAGTCTCCTCTAAAAGAAAGACTCCCAATGGCTAGCCCTGAAAAATCCATTTATTCTCTAGCCCCAAGTGAGTATTGGCTTATGTTATATGCATAAGAAAGAATCTTTTTTTGGTTTATTTAATTACCATAGGTTCTCTGTAAGGCTGATGAAGTCAGGGACACAGATTAGTAAACTCTGAGTATTTATTCATTCATTCAAAAGACAAGTACACTATTCTGTGCCTGACTCTGTGAGGAGAGCTGGGAATACAATAATACCTAACTCTTGGGCGCCTGGGTGGCTTAGTCGTTAAGCGTCTGCCTTCGGCTCAGGTCATGATCCCAGGGTCCTGGGATCGAGTCCCACATCGGGCTCCCTGCTCAGCGGGAAGCCTGCTTCTCCCTCTCCCACTCCCCCTGCTTGTGTTCCTGCTCTCGCTGTCTCTCTCTGTCAAATAAATAAATAAAATCTTTAAAAAAATAAAATAAAAAAATAATACCTAACTCTTACTGGATAAAATGTAGACGCTAATAGACATGTACATGTACAGATCTCCAGAATCACAGCTGATACCCTAAATTACAAAACATTTAATGAGGGCGCCTGGGTGGCTCAGTTGGTTAAGCGACTGCCTTCGGCTCAGGTCATGATCCTGGAGTCCTGGGATCGAGTCCCGCATCGGGCTCCCTGCTCAGCGGGCTCCCTGCTCAGCAGGGGGTCTGCTTCTCCCTCTGACCCTCCCCCCTCTCATGTGCTCTCTCTCTCTCTCTCATTCTCTCTCTCAAATAAATAAAATCTTTAAAAAAAAAAAAGCATTTAATGAGGCAAACACCTTTTGGGGTATCACACTAGCTGAGCATCACCATCCATCAGCCAACTACCAGTCTAGAACATAGGAAAATCCCCTAACCCAGATGAGCTGATCATGTACCGGTCCTGGAAACTGGAGCTGGGGCTGAGAGACACGGTTTTGGTCTGTGAATAGCTAGAACTATAATATGTAAACACAGGAACTACAGGGCTGCTGTGCTCTGCAACAAAGATGAAGCAGCCGGAAAAGCTGGTCTAAGGAGACAAGAAGTACGAGCCTTAAAGGGTTTCCCAGACTAGGCACAGTGCTTTCTGCCCTTGGGCTCCACAAGATACCCCTGAAGTACAAAAAAGAATTCCTTCTGGCTTAGGCTGAATGGTGTGAAGAAATTTCTCATTGTTACTCACCAAAGAGTCCTAACAAACACAAATACCAGGCCATTAGTGGCTTTGATGCTACCATATCCTAAGGCATGGAACAGGACTCTCCTTTCTCAATCCAGGATTTAGGAGGAGTCACAGAAAGGGCCCCATCTCTCTCTCCCCTCCTCTCCAATGGCTGCAACATATAGCTTCAGGCTCCCAAACTCACCCCTTATTCCATCTGTTTAGTGCTCTAATAGCTAGGTTCCCAGGCTTGACCACAGAAGCCTACAGGAAACCCCAAACTTCCTAAAATGCAGTACATTTCTAAGAAAATGTGATTTTAAAAAGAATTGAAGGAACGCCTGGCTGGCTCAGTTGGTAGAGCATGCAACTCTTGATCTCAGGGTTGTGGGTGAGCTCCACATTGGATGTGGAGATTACTTTAAAAAATAAAATCTTCAGAAAAATTGAAAAATAATAAAAACTGAAAAGGACTGCAGACAGTAAAATTAATTCTAAAAACATACATACTGCTTCCAGAAAGATGGAGCAGACATACTTCTCCCTAATCCTTCTGCTGCTAAGTACAAAAATATCTTTCAGCAATGAAGGAGAAATCCAGACATTCTAAGATGAAGGAAGAGAATCTACTGCCAGAGTGTCTAAAGGAAGTTCTCTAAAAAGAAAGGAAAAGATAAAAGAAGGAAGCTTAGAACATTAGGAAGGAAGAAAAAACATAATGACATGATTACCTATGCAGAAAATCCCAAGGAAAATGCCAAAAAAAAGCTCCTAAAACTACTGATTTCAGCAAGGTCACAGAGTAAAAGATAAACAGAAAAAATTTAATTATTTCTGTACAATATAGTGAACACATGAAACACCTGACTAAAACAAACAATAGCAACTACAACAGCTTAAAAAAAAAAAAGATACTAGTGTAAATCTAACAAAATACATATAAGATCCTTAACACAAAAACTCTGATAAATCAAAGACAATCTAAATAAAAGGGAGACATAGTGTGTTCCAAAAAACAAACAAAAAACATATATACATATGACCTTACCCCCTCCACCAGCACTAGCTGGGTACAACCCACAGAGGCCATGTTGGCTTTTGTTGCTTCTTCTCGAAAGACAGTAATAAGTTCCTCCAAACGCCTTAATTTTACCTCTTCTGGGACATCATCTTTCAGTCTGTGATATGCCCGGGTTTTCTATTAAAAAAAAAAAAGAAACAGAGGTCACCAAAGACTCATAGAACCCCCTCTCCCCCTTTTAGATTTTTTTTTTTTTTTGTAAATTTTCACTCAGCTTTAATTACAATCACGCATTTTAAATTCAAAGAGGTGACCAAATGTGAAGCATTCAGAATAATCTGATTACAAGTCTGGTTAACTGAAAACAAAGACTTCTCCATAAAAAACATAGTTTTCTATGCATTCCTGTAAAATAGAGCTAGATCTACAAAGTAATCTATTTAACAGGTTGTAACTAGGGCAGTATGACAAGAAGTAAAAGCAAATGGCTTAATTCTTATGGATACATTAGATTTGATGCTGCTTCATAATCTGCTTACAAAAATAAAAAACCAGTATATTGTCTTGATTTGTAGGTTTTCTTCCCATGTCAGTAAAGTGAAGAGCTTTTCCTTGTTTTTCATACAAGCAAATCTCATAGCATTAGCCCTTAGGAAGGTTACTGCAAACTCTTTCCATGGGCAGACAGCGATCCCTCATTTGCAAGGTTGCTCATCAGTGACATTTATAGCTCCATTATTCTTCTTCAACCTCCAGGATGCTGGGTAAGATTGTCAGGTTCCAACCAAGTAATTTCCAAGCAAGTATTCTCTCACATGTTTTGGAATTTTCCTTTGCCATCTCAACATCTCCAGGTAACAGTTCCGTTACACCACTGAGAGCCACTGCTCCCGCAGGGGACCAATATTTTGGAAAACTAAGCATTTTCACAGAACGGCAGTCGAAGGTTTTCAGTACTAGAACCCTGCCTTTCACTAATCTGGTTTGCACACAGCGCCACCTGGGCACAGTACACCACTCAAATCTCAGACAAGGTCGGAGACTGCCCATTTTCAAATAATCTTTTGATCTACCACCAACGTAGGGCCTCCCAAGTCCAGACGTAAAAGCTAGATTTATTTTTTTTAGGGGCAGCCGGGTGGCTCAGTCAGATAGGTGTCTGCCTTCAGCTCCGGTCATGATCCCAGGGTCCTAGGACTGAACCCCATGTCAGGGCTGCTTCTCCCTCTCCCTCTGCTGCTCCCCCTGCTTGTGTTCTCTCTCTGTCAAATAAATAAAATCTTTAAAAAAAAAAAAGATTTATTGGGGCGCCTGGGTGGCTCAGTCGTTGGGCTTCTTCTGCCTTCGGCTCGGGTCGTGATCCCAGGGTCCTGGGATCGAGCCCCGCATCAGGCTCCCTGCTCCACGGGAAGCCTGCTTCTCCCTCTCCCGCTCCCCCTGCTTGTGTTCCCTCTCTGGCAGTGTCTCTCTGTTAAATAAATAAACAAAATCTTTAAAAAAAAAAAAAAAGATTTATTTATTTTAGAGAGAGGGGAGAGAGAGTACGCGTGTGCCGCGTGCAAGTTAGGGAATGGGCAGAGGAAGACGGGGATAGAGAATCCTCAAGCAGACTCCCCTCTGAGCAAGGAACCTGACAAGGGGCTGGATCCCAGGATCCTGAGATCATGACCTGAGCCGAAATCAAGAGTTGGATGCTTAACTGCTTAAGACACCCAGGTGCCCCCACCCCATAGAATCCATTCTTAAGGTACAGAGGGGGAACCAGGTTCATTCCACCTCCAAGTTACAGACATACGTACAGGAACCCAAGCCATGTCAGAAGGGTTCTCTAGCTCTAGGAGCATTCTAAAAGAAAAAGGTAACTATGCAGTCAAGTCACATCTTTATAAGGGTTAAATTCTAAATTTAGCACATGAAAATCAGACTCAAAATTGTTCTTGATATATTTATAGAATACAAATGTAACCTTTATACAAATGTAACATACACTAAATAACTCATTAGGAGCACTATTTATAAGACACAAAATGCAAAGCAGCCTAAGTGTTTATCAGTAGGTTATCAGTAAAACAAATTATGCTTTATCTATACAACAGAATATTACACCAGTGAAAAAAGAATGTGATAACTCCATATGTACTGATATGATTGCTCTCCAAAACATACTCTTAACAGAAATAAGATATAGATCAACATGGACAACAACTTTGGTGTAAAAAGAATGAATAAAAATAGGTTTATAAATACATGAAATATCTCTGGAAGTTTACAGAAGAAATTCCTAAGAGCAATTACCTTCAAGGAAGGAACTGAAAAACCAGGCAACCTGGGAAGAAGAAAGAACAAGTACTTCTCATTGCATACTATTTTGAACTTCTGAATTTTATATAATGAGCTCATATTACGCAGTCCAAAAAAAATTTTTAAGGAAAATTTATCCTTAAAAAGCCATTTAAATTGTTCAAATCTATGGATAGGGTGCATACATGTACGTGTTGTGTGTATATAAACACTTTTTTTTAAGATTTTATTTATTTTTGTGAGAGAAAAAGGAAGAGCGAGCACGAGCAGCGGGAGGGGCAGAGGGAGAAGCAGACTCCCCACTGAGTAGGGAGCCAGATACGGGACTCAATCCCAGGACCCCAGGATCATGATCTGAGCCAAAGGTAGATGCCCAACTGATTGAGCCACCCAGGCACCCAACACATTTTTTTTTAAGTTTTCTGTATACAAGCTTATAACACAGTTGAAGAACCACTGAGCTAGATATAAGTATGGAATAACAGGAAAACCTATATACCAAAGTGTAGTCATTCCAATCGGCCTTTGAGAGAACTACCAAATGGTGAATGGGTTTACTCTATTTTGTCTTATTAACAAAAACTTGTCTCTATTGTGTGTACCATTACCAAGCACTATTCTCATTTCAAAGGTGGAGAGACCAAGGACCTTTCTCAAGATCACATAGTTAGTAAGAATGGTAGAATTTGAATGCTTGTTCTTATCCACTAGACTATTTAAGTCTCTATAAGCTTAATCCTAACCAAGAAATTAGATCCCTAAGTGAACACTCTTATTCAATGCCCATGATGCTGCCACCACACACTGTAAACCCATTTCCCAATCTAGCATTATAAAGAATTTCTCTTGCATATTTGTGATGTCCATGGAAAAGAAGCAGTAGATTTGTCTACTCTGAAGCTTCATCTCTGAAATAATTCTGTAACAGACATAAACATACACAATGGCCCACTTACATTGCCTACAGAACACTAGGCAGTGGGCTTTAAAAGACATGAATTCGTTGACAGCAGCTGAGTGACAGTGGTGTCTAAGGTCTTGGGATCCTTCACTCATCAGTCAGCTTTCCTGAGCCTCCTGGCCACACAGCCTCTTCAGCCTCCGGCCCAAACACAAGTAAGGCCCCCACTGAGGTGACTGGAAAGATGAGAAATGACCTGTGCAAATTCATCCCTACCATCGAGAAAATAGCAGCAGACCAGAACTATCCCCTCTCTGCAGGAAATACACATTACTCTCCCTTTCCTTCCTCATCTCCTTCTGCTTTATTTTCCTGGGAATCTGTGTACAGGAGAAACTCTATAGTGGCTATCAGTAGATTCAGTTGGCCTAAAAAAATGAAAACTAAAATAGCTTAGGGGCGCCTGGGTGGCTCAGTCGTTAAGTGTCTGCCTTTGGCTCAAGTCATGATCCCAGGGTCCTGGGATCGAGTCCCACATCAGGCTCCCTGCCCAGCAGGAAGCCTGTTTCTCCCTCTCCCACTCCCCCTGCTTGTGTTCCTGCTCTCGCTATCTGTCAAATAAATAAATAAAATCTTAAAAATAAAATAAAATAGCTTAGGATAGCTAGGAGGACAAGGTGCATCCGTGAAACAATTCACATCCGTAGGTCAAAAAAGTCCTGCATGATTTTAGCTTTCTTATAAGGAGAGTAGTATCCCTACCTCCACATTCAAATTCTAAATGATCTAAACATAATTTAAAATATTTTAATGAAAATAAATATTGTCACAAGCAATCCATTTTCATCTCAAATCAATGAATTGTATAAAATAGTAGACAGGTTGATTAAAATAAAAATAAAGAAATGAGTGGTAAGATCCTCATGGCTTCTCAAGGACCGCCCTGCTGCCATTTTCTTTTCTTGCCAGTTGTCTACAACCAGAAACCAGTCAGGAATTCTGTCAGTGTCAGCACAGAAGTAGCTTTTCCTCCATCCCAGGGCTTACCTGTCTCATACTGTAAGCAAAAAGAAAGCCCATGTTGTACTGCACTTCCCGAAGCAAAGACACTGTCTGGAGGTGATCGTCCTCCGTCTCACCACAAAAGCCAGCAATGAAATCACTGCTGAGGCTCACTCCTGCAACGCATGACAAAGGACAACGTGTCATTGCTGCTTACCTTCAAGAGAGGCCTTTGGCACTTGTGGGCTACAGAGGGCAGAGTAGCAATCGTAAACCTTTCCTGGAGCTGTTCAGCTCATGTGCAAGTGAAACAGAATAGTTACTACAGAGCAAGATGGGATAGGCTTGCTTATCCAGAATGTTCTCATACTTTGGGGTGCCTGAGTGGCTCAGTTGGTTAAGCGTCCAACTCTTGGTTGCAGCTTAGGTCATGATCTCAGGATCATGAGGTCGAGCCCCATGTGGGGTTCCACGCTCAGCACAGAGTCTGCTTCTCTCCCTCTGGTTCCTCCCCTCGCATGCATGCACAGCACCCCCCTTAAATAAATAAATAAATCTTTTATAAAATTTTTTAAATAAAATCTTTAAAAAACATACTTTTGAAGCCAATTTCACATAATGTTTAAGACTATAGGAACAATAACTATTGGTCACTAAATACTAAGTGCTATGCTTTCCTATCTATTTAATTTAATCTATATAATCATCCCAACAATCCAATGAGGTACTACCAACTCTATTTTATATATACATATTTTTTTTTTAAAGTAAACTCTATGCCACACATGGGGCCTGAACTCACGATCCTGAGATCAAGAGTCCCATGCTCTACTGACTGAGCCAGCCAAGCACCCCTTATTAACTCTATTTTATAAATGAGGAAACTGCAGCCCAGAAAACTTCCACACTACCCTGCCAATCCAAAATGAAACTATTTATGCATAATGCAAGTTACAATAATTAGAAATTTGGAAACAAATGTAGACATTGTCAACCAAATCTAAATTAAAAGACTACAAAGTAATTTTATTAGGAGGAAGAGAAAAGAGAAAAAGGAGTAAGAGTTAATAGGAAAGGAATTACCTCTAAGTACACAATTTTAAAGATATCAATTGCCCCCAAATCAGAACTAATTTAGACCAAACTAACTTTGCCAGCTAGTAAGAAAGAACAAGGTCTGTCCCATACGTTCAGAAACACAAAGACTATAGAAAACAAATCTCTTTCATCCTGAGGTCACAAGCTGATCCATATCTTTGTGTATATCTAGCAAGACCATGACATTAAAAAACCAAAAAGGAGTAAAATGAGAGAAAGAGAAAAATGAAGAGGAGCAAAAGAAGCATAAAGGGTGTCATAAGGTAGTGTCACAGGCGTTGCCTGTATCTGACAAAAACGATGTGATCACTGGTAGAGTGATGTGCTCAACAGAGTATTTCTTAAACACACCTGGGATAGATTCTCTGATATGATGAATTAACTCCACATAAGCTTCCCTTGAATACCTGCAATAAAGAACAAAAAGGCTTAGATGAACCAATCTTCTTTAAATGAATGCTACAAAAAGATAACACTATGAATTACCACATATAACCACTTCTCATCCATATAGGACAGTACAAAAGTAGGTTAAAGTACCCAAAAGAGCCCTTTTGATCCAAATCCTGTAGTGTAACCTAATCTACAGCCCATCAATCTTTAGTTCAAGAACATATATTATTTTAAATAGCCTTTTTAAAAAATAAGTAGGGGGCACCTGAGTGGCACAGTAGGTTAAGCGACAGACAGCTCAGGTCCTGATCTGTGTCATGAGATCGAGCCCCGGGTCAGGCTCCACGCTCAAGAAGGAGTCTGCTTGAGATTCTCTCTCCCTCTCCCTCTGCCCCTCCCATTCGTGCTCGCTCTCTCAAATAAATAAATCTTAAAAAAAATAAGTAAATAGCCTTTTTATTTCATAAGTGAGGACAGATTAAACACTTAGAAGGATCTCTAAAACTGCCGATGTGGAAAACAAGGCAAGGCACTTGTTCCATACAGCTTTTCATTTGTCACTTTACCCTTTCAGTCTTACCTCTGCAAGACATATAACTCCCAAAGTAAGTGAACACACAGAGGCATGTTTAAATTCCAAGACTTAAAAAGCTTTAATGTTAAAAGCTACAGGATTCCAATTTCAAAAAGAGTGTGCCACACAGTAGGTGCTTAATAAAAAAACATGCTAGGGGGCCTGGGTGGCTTAGTCGGTTGAGCATCTGACTTGGTTTTGGCTCAGGTCGTGATCTCAGGGTCATGAGATCAAGCCCCACATCGGGCTCTGCACTCAGTGCTGAGTCTGCTTAAGACTCTCTGCCCCCTCCACGCGTGCCCTCTCTCTCTCTCTAAAATAAATAAATCTTAAAAAGAAATGCTAAACAAATGACATGAGTGATTCAGTCCTTAGTCTACACTTCTGGAGTAAACGGAAGCAAGTTATCATGTCCATGAGTTTACTCATGTAACAAATTTATTGAGCAGCTCCTATGTGCCACACACTATACTAGGTTCTTAGACACTGTGTGGTCCTTAAGAAAACATGGAAAGGTGCATGATGCCTCCTCCCCAAGCAAGTCTGACCCCCTCCGCATAGCCTCCAATACACGGCTGCTTCCACTCTGGGCTGGTAGGTGGATCTGTTTACAGATGTTGTCTCTCTCATGAATCAGCTGTAGAACCTGATTAGATAGAACACATTAAAGGTCATCAAAGTCTCAGCAAAGAATCCTGCAGAAAGAAATAACACCCCCACTGTTTCTCTACTAAGGTGAATTTTCAAGTAATTAACAGGCTGATTACCCAAATCCTTTATTTTTACTCAAGCCATGTTATCTGTCCCAGACATTTCATTTCACCTGATGGCATCTCTGCTTTCAAAAAGTGAAAAACGCAAGCAGAGTTCAAATTCAAGGCATAGGCTGACACAGACAAAAAAGGAAAAATGGTTGTTTGTTTCATCTAACTTCCAAACTAATTAGCCACTTTAAAAGACACCATCATGGGGCGCCTGGGTGGCTCAGTTGGTTAAGCGACTGCCTTCGGCTCAGGTCATGATCCTGGAGTCCTGGGATTGAGTCCCGCATCGGGCTCCCTGCTTGGCAGGGAGTCTGCTTCTCCCTCTGACCCTCCCCCCTCATGCTCTCTCTCAAATAAATAAATAAAATCTTTATAAATAAATAAATTAATAAATAAATAAAAGACCATCAAGGGTTGCCTGGGTGGCTCAGTCAGTTAAGCATCTGCCTTCGGCTCAGGTCATGATCCTGAGGTCCTGGGATCAAGCCCCATGTCCGGCTCCCTGCTCAGCAGGAATCCTGCTTCTCCCTCTCTCTCGCTATTTCTCTCTCAAATAAATAAAATCTTAATAAAAATTAAAAAATAAGGGCGCCTGGGTGGCTCAGATGGTTAAGCGTCTGCCTTCAGCTCAGGTCATGATCCCAAGGTCTTGGGATCGAGTCCCGCATCGGGCTCCCTGCTCCTTGGGAGCCTGCTTCTCCCTCTGCCTCTCTCTCTCTCTCTCTGTCTCTCATGAATAAATAAATAAATAAAAGTTTAAAAAATAATAATAAAAAATAAAAGACACCATCAAGAAACTGGAACTAGGTGGCACCTGGCTGGCCCAGTTGGTGGAGCGTGCAACTATGGATCTCAGGGTTATGTTGAAGCCCCACACTGGGTGTGGAGATTACTTAAAAATAAAATCCTTAAGGGGCACCTGGGTGGCTCAGTCAGTTAAGTGCCCAACTCTTGATTTCGGCTCAGGCCATGGTCTCAGGGTCCTGGAGTCAAGCCCTGCACTCATCAGGGAGTCTGCTTGAGAGTCTCTCTCTCCCTCTCCCTCTATTCCCCCTGCCCCTCACTTGCACACTCTAAAATAAATAAATCTTTAAAAAATAAAGTATTTAAAATAAAGAAACTAGAACTAAGAAAAAATATTTGAAAAAATATACTGACAAAGGATTTATATCAAGAATACATAAAGAACTTTTACAACTCAGTAAGAATATAATCCAGTGGCAAAAAGGTAGGGGTGGGGCCAAAAGACAGATATTTCACCAAAACAAAAAAACTCAAAAAAAAAAGGTTCCACATGTGGGCTATACATTCCATGCATTGCTAAGGCACTTTGATAAGTACCTTCCATACATTATACCTATTTCCCAACAACCTAAAGCGGGAGGTTATTATTAATCCCTTTTTACAGATGAAGATGACAATCTGACCGTGATGCCCTTGAAGACAAAATTTTTTTAAATACATCAGTCCCATCTCTGCCCTACCTCGGTGGACTTTAAATGTTTGGTGGAATTAAAGGGCAATACAGCAATACACAAAATCCCCTGAGCAAGATTCAAGGACTGCTGCCTCCCACTGGGTCCAGCCTTTGGCATACTTAAGGATACTGGTAACAGCCTGGCACAGTTCACTGTTGATACTCACCTCATCAGGAAAGTCTTTGGGGTGGGGAGAGGTGAAACGGATCCTCATTTCAGGATCTACTCTGGAGACCTGATCCAGAAGGTGAGCAAAACGAAGACCCCCTTGCTTGGGTTTATAGTTGGTAGAAAAACCACGGCTCAGGTTAGTAGACACTGCATTGTTGAACTGGACTTCAGAACTGTCCCGAAAACTATTAACATTCTGACCAAGAAGTGTCACTTCTTTCAGCCCCTAAGAAAGGGAAAATAAATACATCGGAAGCAAATCAAAATTTTTTTGGTAGTTTCATGCCAAATCACTAACTGAAATTAGTTGAGCCTACCAAGAGCCATCCATAAATGTATTCTATACTGTATTTAACCAATAATTTCACATTTGGTCATCTTGTCTGAAGAAATGAACTTTAGAATTTTTAAAACCTTAAATAAAAATTATCATCAAAGCATTTTTTAGAGTAGCAAAAACCTGGACACAAACTCAATGTTCAATAATAATGGTTAATTTATAACACCATAAATCAAATTATGACAGCATTCTGTCAACTGAATATTATATAATCATTGCCTATGAAGTATTCTTCCCAAAATATTTAGCCTAATTTGAATCAAGCTTTTACACCTAACTTCCAGTTTACCAGAATTCAGAGGAATATTCTATATGACAACATGAAGAAGCAATCAGACAAATCCAGACATATCCGATCTCTTCAAAAACTTAATGTATCATTTAAAGCAAACAACAAAGTGAAAGTGCTGTTTTAAATTAAGAGGGATTGAAGAAATATACAAACCAAGTAAAACCACAAATCTTTTTTTTTTTAAAGATTTATTTATTTGATAGAGAGAGACACAGTGAGAGAGGGAACACAAGCAGGGGGAGTGGGAGAGGGAGAAGCAGGCTTCCCGCGGAGCAGAGAGCCTGATGTGGGGCTCGATCCCAGAACCCTGGATCATGACTTGAGCCGAAGGCAGACGCTTAACAACTGAGCCACCAAGGTGCCCCAAAACCACAAATCTTGATTGGATCTTGGTTTGAAAATAAAAAAAGCAATACAGTATTTTTGGACAGGGGCGCCTGGGTGGTTCAGTCAGTTAAGCATCTGCCTTCAGCTCAGGTCATGATCCTGAAGTCCCAGGATTGAGACCCATGTAGATCTCCATGCTCAGTGGGGAGTCTGCTTCTCCCTCTCCCTCTGCTCCTCCCCGTTTTCTCTCTCTCTCTCAAATAAATAAATAAAATCTTAAAAAAAAAAAAGATATTTTGGACAGCTAAGAAATTTTGAGGAGCACCTAGCTGGCTTAGTTGGTAGAGCCTGGGACTCTTGGGTCGTGAGTTCGAGCCACATGTTGGGTGTAGAGATTACTTAAAAATAAATTAATTAAAAAAAAAAAAAGACATTTGGGAGCATCTGGATGGCTCAGTTGGTTAAGCATCTGCCTTCAGCTCAGGTCATGATCCCAGGGTCCTGGGACTGAGCCCTGAGTTGGGCTCCCTGCTCAGTGGGGAGTCTGCTTCTCCATCTCCCTCTGCCTATCGCTCCCCCTGCTTGTGCTCCCTCTCTCTCTCTGTCAAATAAATAAATAAATAAAAATCTTTAAAATAAATAAATAAAACAATAAACAATGTCTCTATCCTGAAGAGTAAGTTCTGGTACTGTGAGGGAGTTGGAAGGGAAGGAGACAACTTGAGACCAGGAAGCACTTGGAGAGGTAGGGTATGGAGAATACTTCACAGTGCCTATGAGCAGCCAGAGACCAAATCAGGGAACTGAGAATTGGGGAATGGGAGATGATGAGAGAGCACTGCCAGAGTGTAAGAACAGACAAACTGCTGACTGAAAACTAGAGCAGGGGCTAGCTCCCACAGTTCCTGAGCCAAACAAGTAAGGCAACAGGGAAACTCTAGTGGAAGAAAAGCTCCATATTCCCATCTACAGTCCTCCTCTTCAGGGCTAAAAATTCCAGGCCTAGAGTTAGCAGGGACAAGCTCCCAAAAGGAAGGAAATAGTTATTTCCCCTCTGGCCTCTGATTGGATTCACTACCCTCATCTATTCTCTGTCCCTCAACTAGTAAGCTGGCTCTGTAATAAAAATGAGGAAGATATTTGGGAAGTTTCTCTATAACAGACAAATAAATCATTCTCTGAAAATTTCCTATGTGCCAAGTAGTTTAAAAACATTTAGGGGCAGGGCACCTGGGTGGCTCAATCAGTTCAGGGGCCTACTCCTGATTTTGGCTCAGGTCATGATCTCAGGGTCTTGAGATCAAGCCCTCCGGTGGGCTCCACACTCATTGGGGAGTCTGTTTGAGCTTCTCTCCCTTCCTCTCTTCCTCTGCCCCCTTCCTCCCCAACTCTCTTTCTCTCAAATAAACAAATAAATCTTTTTTTTTTTTTAAGATTTTATTTTTTGACAGAAAGAGACACAGTGAGAGAGGGAACACAAGCAGAGGGAGTGGGAGAGGGAGAAGCAGGCTTCCCACAAAGCAGGGAGCCCGATGCAGGGCTCAATCCCAGGACCCTGGGATCATGACCTGAGCCGAAGGCAGATGCTTAACGACTGAGCCACCCAGGCGCCCCAATAAATAAATAAATCTTAAAAAAAATTTTAGGGGCACCTTGGTGGCTCAGTTGGTTGAGTGTCTGACTCTTGGTTTCAGCTCAGGTCATGATCTCAGGGTTATGAGATCAAGCCCCACGTCAGGCTCTGTGCTTAGCAAAGAGCCTGCTTGTAATTCTTTCTCCCTCTCCCTTTGTTCCTCCCACTCTTTACGAATGCTCTCTAAAAATAAATAAATCTTGGGCGCCTGGGTGGCTCAGTTGGTTAAGTGACTGCCTTTGGCTCAGGTCATGATCCTGGAGTCCCAGGATCGAGGCCCACATCGGGCTCCCTGCTCAGCAGGGAGTCTGCTTCTCCCTCTGACCCTCTTCCCTCTCGTGCTTTCTCTCATTGTCTCTCTCTCAAATAAATAAATAAAATCTTTAAAAATAATCTTTAGGGAAAAAAAAACTTAAACTACACGGGCACGTGGTCAACTCAGGGGAACCCTCCTACACTGTTGGTGGGAATGCAAGCTCGTGCAACCACTCTGGAAAACAGTATGGAGGTTCCTCAAAAAGTTGAAAATAGAGCTACCATACGATCCAGCAATTGCACTACTGGGTATTTACCATAAAGATACAAATGTAGGGATCCAAAGGGGTACGTGCACCCCAACTGGGAAACTGTTTCAAAGATGATAGTTAAGTGACCAGGGCACCAAACCAGAGAATGCTGCAGCCAGAATTCATACTTAATCATCTGATTCCAAACTCATGCTCTCTCCATTCCACTGTGCTGCCTCCTAAGCAAACTTCACATGGATCTGCCTATAATTTATAAACAGCAAATCAAAGATATTCACCCAGGTATTTCTTTCTGGCCAGGTATGCGTTCTAAACTTACACAGCTCAGAGATAGCACAGGCAGGAAAACAAGAAAGGTTCTCCTCATCCTCCTAAAACCACACTTAGAAGACAAAGGCCTGGAGAATTTTTCACCTGCTCTGAAAGCTTCCTCACTTCCTCTAGAATGGAAGCAACAGGGCGACTCCTCTCCCGGCCACGTGTGAAAGGAACAATGCAGTAGCTGCACATGTTGTCACAGCCTCGCATGATAGACCTGGGGAGAAAAGCACCAAAACTTAGTAACAGGACTAACAGGAGTAGGATGCCTTGCTCCCACCCAAGGAGGAGGTCATAGCTCCCTCGGCATTATCCTTTGGCTCTGAATCCTCTTGGCACCATACTCACACTGGACCAATCGGAGACATTTTTAAGGCAAACA